CATTTTCCAAGAACCAGCTCTTAATTTCATTGATCTTCTCTTTTGTCTTTTTAATCTCTATTTCATTTATTTCTGCTCTACTCTGTGTTGTTCCCTTACTTCTAACTTTGGGCTTTGTTTATTCTTTTTCTCGTTCTTTAGATGTTAAGTTAGATGGTCTATTTGAGATTTGTCTTGTTTCTTGAGGTAGGCCCATATTGCTATGAACTACCCTCTGATAACTGCCTTTGCTGCATCCCATAGATGTTGGATTGTTGCATTTCCATTTTCATTTGTCTCAAGGTATTTTTTGACTTCCCCTTTGATTTCTTTATTGACCCATTAGTTCAGTAGCATGTTGTTTAATCTCCACATACTTGTGATTTTTCCAGTTTTCTTCTTGTAATTGATCTCTAGTTTTCATACTGTTGTGGTCAGAGAATATGCTCAATATTATTTCAGACTTCTTAAATTTATTGTATTTTTTTGTGGCCTAATATGAGATCTATCCTGGAGAATGTTCTGTGTGCACTTGAGAAGAATGTGTGTATTCTGCTGCTTTTGGATGGGATGTTCTGTATAAAATATCAAGTCCATCTGGTCTTATGTGTCATTTAAGGCTGATGTTTCCTTGTTGATTTTTCTCTCTGGATGATCTATTTATTGATGTAAGTAGGGGTATTAAAGTTCTCTACTATATTGTATTGCTGTTAATTTCTCCTTTTGGTCTGGTAATATTTGATCTTGTAATATTTCTATAATTAGGTGCTTCTCTGTTGGCACACAAATACTTACAAATTTTATATCATCTTTTTGGATTGACCCTTTTCTCATTGTATGATGCTCTTTGTCTTTTGTTACTGTCTTTGTTTTAAAGTCTATTTTGTCAGATACAAGTATAGCAATACCACTTTTCTTTTTGTTTCCATTTGCATGGAATATCTTTTCCATCCCTTGATTTTCATTCTTTGTGTGTCCTTAGATCTAAAGTTAGTCTCTTGGGGCACCTGGGTGGCTCAGTCATTAAGCGTCTGCCTTTGGCTCAGGTCATGATCCCAGGCCCCGCATCAGGCTCCCTGCTCTGTGGGAAGCCTGCTTCTCCCTCTCCCACTCCTCCTGCTTGTGTTTCCTCTCTCGCTGTGTCTCTCTCTGTCAAATAAATAAAATCTTTAAAAAAATAATAAAGTTAGTCTCTTTTAGGCAAAAGAGATGAGTCTTGTGATTTGCTTTTTTTTTTAATAAATCCATTCAGTCACACTGTGTCTTTTGATTGGAAAGTGTGGTCCATTTATATTTAAAGTAATTATTGATAGGTATATAACATATTCTCATTTTGTTAAGTTTTCTGTCTTTTTGTAGTTTCTCTCTGTTAATTTCTTCTTTTCTTGCTGTCTTCCCTTTTGGTTTAATGCCTTTTTTTAGTGTTATGTTTAGATTCCTTTCTTATTATTTTCTGTGTATCTACTATAGGTTTTTCGTTTTTGGTTTTTGGTTGTTTTTGGTTAAGTTTCATTTATATATAACAGTCTATATATAGCAGTCTGTTTTAAGTTGATAGCAACTTTAATTTGAATGCATTCTAAAAGCTACATTTCCTCCCCCACATTTTATGTTTCTAATATTGTACATCTTTTAATTTTGTATATCCCTTAAATGACTGTTGCAGTTATAATTTTTCTACTTTTGCTCTTTAGCCTTTAAGCTGATTTTATGTGGTTAATTTACTACCTTTACTATTTATTTGCCCATTAGATTTTTACTTGCATATGTGTTCTAGTTATTAGATAGTGCCCTTTCTTTATACCCTAAAGAAGTCCCTTTAAAATTTCTTATAAGGCCAGTTTAGTGGTGGTAAACTCCTTTAGTTTTTCTTGTCTGGAAAACTCATTATCTCTCCTTCAATTCTGAAAGATAATTTTGCTAGGTAGATTATTCTTGGTTGGAAGTTTTGTTTTGTTTTGTTTTCCCTTTCAGCACTTTGAGTATATTATAATACCCTCTTCGGACCTGCAGAGTTTCTGCTGAAAAATCAGCTGATAGTCCTATGGGGGCACGGGGGTTCCCTTGTATGTAACTGGTAGCTTTTTTTCTTGCTGCTTTTAATATTCTCTCTTTATCTTTACCTTTTGATATTTTAATTATAATGTATCTTGGTTTGGATTTTTTTGGGTTCATCTTATTTGGAACTCTCTTTGCTTTCTGGACCTGGATGTTTGTTTCCTCAGGTTAGGGAAGTTTTCAGCCATTATTTCTTCAATAAGCTTTCTGCTTCTTTCTCTCTTCTCCTTTGGAACCTCAGTAATGTGAATGTTATTACCCTTAATGTTGTCTCGTAAGTCACTATCTTCAGTTAATTATTTTTTTCTTTTTACTGCTCTTTTTGGGTGAGTTCCATTGCTTTGTCTTGAAGCTCACTGATCCCTTTTTCTCCTTTGTCTAGTCTGCTATTAAACCCCTGTAATGTATTTTTCAATTCGGTTATTGTATTCTTCAGCTCTGTGACTTCTGTTTGGTACTTTCTTATATTTTCTGCCTCATTGTTAAAGTTTCACTGTGCTCATCCATTCTTTGCTTGAGTTCAGTGAACATCTTTATGAATACTGCTTTGAACTCTAAATCAGGGGAATTACTTAATTCCACTTCATTAGGATGTTTTTCTGATGTTTTTTCTTGTTCTTTAATTTGGAACATATTCCTTTATTTTCCCAGTTTGCTTTACTCTCTCTGTTTGTTTCTATGTATTAGATGAAACAGCCACCTCTTCCAATCTTTAAGGAATTGGTAAGGAATGGGTAAAGTTATGGGCATGCCCCACCCTCAGCTCTCTTTCCTGGCCTTGGTAAATCCACGGGTGAACCCCAGCTCCAGTGCTCTTTTCGTGCATTGCCAAAGCTGTGGGCATGTCCTACCCCAGTGTTCCTCCCACATCTTGCTAAAGCCATGAATGTGCTCTGCACTCAGCACTCTTCCCCTGCATCACTATAACCCTCAGTACTCTCCTACAGCCTCACTAAAGCTGGCCTTCTGTAGGAGTTGAACTGTGTTGTTCAGCTTTGCCCTAGCTCTTGGTTGTCTCATGAACTTTTGTGATTGTCTAAGTAGACTGATTTATTCTTGGTCCCCATTGTTGAAGGAGTGCCAAGACCTGTCAGTGTTCCAAACAGAGTGATCTCAAGTCAAGACCTCATTTCAGGCTGACTGGAAACAGATTCTCAGGCAGCAGCTTTTAAAGAATGCAAATATATACACTTCTGTGGGACTACAAGTGTAAACTCTGCTGCCAGACCAGAAGATCTGGAGGTGTCCCCTGGGCAACAGTTATAAAAAGCAGGGCTTCAGACAAGTGTATACACTTCTTTCCAGGAGGTATCAGTGAGCTGTGATAAGGCCACGGGAGGGCTCAAAGAAGGTATCTCCCTGCCTTTGGTCCCTGAGAGCACCCCTGTAATCTCTAGATATGTGACTAACATGAAGCCTGTTCCACAGGTTGAAACTCTAGGACAAGTAGATGGGCCTTTTTCACAGGCACACTTGATTGCTGTCTGTGCAGTGCTATGGGTTTGGTAACCTGTGTAGAACTGTCTTTCTGATTTTTATAGTCCTGTGGGGCCCAGCAACAGAAGCCCCTCTGCTATCAGGCTGGGTGATCAAGGGGTATCCCTTGTATGGACTGTGCTTGATGGCCAGCTTTAGTGCGGCTGCAGGAGAGTGCTGAGGGTTATAGTGATGCAGGGGAAGAGTGCTGGGTGCAGAGCACACTCATGGCTTTAGCAAGATGTGGGAGGAACACTGGGGTAGAACATGCCCACAGCTTTGGCAATGCAGGAAAAGAGCACTGGAGCTGGGGCTTACCCATGGACTTACCAAGGCCAGGAAAGAGCACTGAGGGTGGGGCAAGCCCATAACTTTACCCATGTAGGAGAAAAGTGCTGGGGGCCAGACACCTGCACTTGCCACCAGTACTAGCAAAGTAGAGAGAGATGGAGAGTGGGGAAAATGATGCTTTCCATCTCCAAAGAAAGTCCCCACTTGTCCCTGCTCCTTCAGCAGACACTTTTATATTAGCAAATGAATCTTCACGTATAATCCAGTCATTTCTCAAACTGCTGACTTTTTGCTGGGTCCTGGGAGGAGTGAGTCATTGCACAAGCTCCTCAAAAGGAGTATCTCAAATCCCTGCGTTTCCCCAGTCCTCTTGGGTGTATGCCCCATTGGTTTTCAAAGCCAGATGTTTGGGGGGGGCCTTGTCTTTCCAGTGCAGGTCCTACAGGGTTGGGGTGTCAGATGGCATAAACCCCTCACTCCTCAGAGAAAGGCTTCAGTATTGTGAGATCCCTCCCTATTGTAGGTCACTACTAGGGTTTGGGGTGAGATCGAGTCTCTGCTTCTGCCACCCACCTTGATGTGGCCCATTTATCCCTTGTTGTGGAGGGGGCTATTCAGCTAGAATTCAACAGGAATTATTCCATATGTAACTGTAGTTTTGGTATATCTGAGGAAGGAGGTGAGTTCATGTTCTTTTTATGCAGCCATCTTTGACTGCCTCATAATTTATATATTTTTATATGTCTTGTTTGAAATACTGAATATAAAATATATCAAGAGCATGTAATTTATTTTTACAAATATTTTCACTTGTTAACCAAGTAGCTATTTAGTTAAAAAAGGTTTTTTTTTCCTAGAACTCTAGATGACTTTGTAAATAACCTTGAATGATTTGAGAAACATTTATGTAATAGAATCTTTAATTGAATAAACTAATCAAAATTTATTGGCTATATTCTTCTCTTTAAACATTTATTGTATATAGTTTTAAAAATTTATATGTATTTGTAATTAGCAGTAGAGATGACTAGAGCTGATGTGAACTGGATGCAGCTATGGACAAATGTGCAACTCTTTATTTCACTTCATAAATGCAGAGAGATATAGTAAGTCTCCAAGCAGTGAAACTCTGATGAACTTTCAAATCTTTCTTTTTTACTCTGTTTTACTGATTATTTCCACTTTCATTGTTTTAGTGGGGTCAGATGAACTGGATAGCTACATGTATCAGACAGTGGGTCATCACGCAATTGATTTGTATGCAGAAGCGATGGCTCTTCCCCTCTATCGCCGCACCATAAGAGGAAGGAGTGTGGATACAGGACGAGTGTACACCAAATGTGAAGGTGATGAGGTTGAAGATCTCTATGAGCTTTTGAAACTTGTTAAGGTATGCCCAGTGACCAATTACATCAACTGAATTATTTAGTAATAAATAATTAACAACTGTTAATTCCATTACCTGAATTATTTAGTAATAAATAATTAACAACTGTTAGTGTTCCAACTATTGTTTGAAAAGATATTTTGTGTTTTTGGATGAAAAGAAAACTTACTATGTCTTTATATTAAATACTACTTAAAAACAAAACTTTTGGTATTGTTTGGCATTCAGGGTTGTCAGATGATATTTAATTAAGTTTTCCTTAGGATTTTGTAGCTGATGAAATTTTAATCTTTTTTTAAGCAAATACTTATTGAATGCCTACTATGTGCATGGTATATAGTTCTAGGCACTGGAGATAGGGCAATGAACAGATCAGACAAAGCCTTGTTCTGCTGGAGCTTACTTTCCAGTGGAAGCAAACAGATAGTAGACAAGCAAATCATATGCTTGGTGGTAAAGAGTATTATGGAGAAGAATGAAACAGTCAAGGTGATGAGTGATGACGAGGGGTGGTCAAGCAAGACCTTTCTGGTATGGTGAAATTTAAGTAGACCTAATGAAAGTGAGAGACTGAGCCTTGCTTAAATCTAGTAAGAGAGGTATAAATTAAATACTTAAGTCCTGGTACATAAGAGTTTAGCAGCCATTGTGCATTCATTGTTAATTTTTCTAAATAGAAAATTTAGGAGAGAAAGTATGGGACTCATATATCTAATAGATACTATATTCAGTACATGTTAATTCATGGAGATTATTTTATAATAAGCCATTATCTTTTCGTTTTCATTGATAGTTAACTGAATACATTCTGTATTCTTCTTAACATGAATTTTTTTCAGTCAGCTATAGTCAGTTCATACAAGGCATATCTAATGAAATAGAGACTTTAAGCTGATATTTCCTGCTTGTCTTAGCATTTTTTTCACAAAAGAAAGGAAGATTTCTTTCCTTTCTACCAAGGGACATTGCATTTCATTTTCTCATTCTTCAGAGAAGCTCGGCGTTTCAGAAGTTACATTATGAACTAATGTCATGAAAATTTGCTGGTCTCAAATAGTTACTTCAGTGTTATACTTTAAATTTGATGCTGATCAAAGCTTAATACCAATTAAGGATTTTGATTAAGAAAAATATATGAAGCATTTAAATTCTTTCAAAGTTTGCTTGATTGAAATATTTCTCATTTTGTATGTCAGAACATTTTCATTTTTTTTTACCCTTTAAAAAAGAAACTGATAGGGAAAATTTTTTGAATAATGCCATAATTTAGTTATGGATAGCATAAGAAGTAGATATTTTTCAAAGGAAATTTCAGGGACCTCCTTTCTTTCCTGTGGGAAGAGACATACTAATGACAACTATTTTGATTTTCAAACAAGGGAGAAAGGCATAAAAGTTCCACCTTAAATGGTCTTCTCTATATAAATAAGATCTTGACACTGTTCTCTTTAAGATGTGAAATAATGAGCGCAAAGTCTGCATTTTTTAAATTTCTTTTTCAGGGTACAAAGAAATTGGGTAATAAGTTTTTAGCATAAACCGATATTACAAAATGGTGGGACTCACATGAGAAGTAATTGGATTGCTTAAAAATCACTGATAACTGATAACTTTGGAGAAACTATGTGATAATAACAGCCTTCCAAGAAAGGGAAGGATAATAAATTACTAATCAATTTAATTAAAAATGGGCAGATTAGTAGTAATTAAGAAGAAATTTCCCTTTTGATCCATGCTGTCTTTGGAGAAATGGATGCTTTGCCATTATCTTTATAGTAACCGTCAGTTATGACATAAATTAATGCTAATGTTAAATCTTGACAACTGCTTTGGAAGTTCGTACATGATAATTATAACTATAGTTGAAAGAGATGTTATCAAGTTGTCGGGGACTAAATAGTTCCTTCTTTTTCTGTATAGAAATAGTAATTTTACTGTAGGATATTTTAAGGACATAAATATTGGAAATGTATTGCTTTTATGGAAGATATTGTATAATGAGGTTTTATAGTTAAATCCATTTATGAAACACTGGTGTAAGGATTCCAATAGAGGTCTTACATATTCTAACAAATAATTGAGTAATTATGGAAAAAAACGAATCTAGAAGAACTATAATTCTTCAAGTTAGTGTTTACTCATTCTAAGAAAAAGATGGAATTGCAATTTTTAATCCTTTGACTATTAATGAGCTTTGGAAGCATTTAGATTCATTTTCATTGTAAACATTTATTTATAACAGGTTGCAGTTTTGTGACTTTTATATGTACGTCAGTCTTTTGGTTTTGTATCTCTTTTTTCCCCAAAATAGTAGAGCTAATTTTTGAGTAGGAGAGGTTTCTTTTTGCAAAGTATGTTGATGACTAATTGCTGAAAAGAAGTCGCAATGATTAACTATTTTGTAGAAGTTTTGAAAACTAATAGAAATGTAATAAGCCTTTATATCTCATAGATTACCAGGTGATTTTGACAAGTAGATACATATGTGTATCTCAAAGTTACAAAATAACCTGATTTTCATATAGCTAGCCTTTTTTTATTCTTTAGAATTTATTTAATATTAAAATGTCTCCATGGTTTTCATCTGGATTAATTTGGCATAAGGATAACTTGGATTATCTCCTGGAAATACAGTAATTTTCAAATTCTTTGTGTTTTCTTTTTAAGTCATGGAAGAAATGTAATCATTACTGAAGGGTACATGTAAACACCATATCCCTATGGAGAATATATTTAAGGATTAACATATTCATTCTTTCTCCAGTGGTTTGGAGGCACTTCTTACTGTTCCTGATATCTTCCTCTTTCTTGGTTATTCCCTCTTTTCAAGTAGAGTCCATCTTTAAGAAACTTCCATAGAGAAGGTACTTTGAAATCCTTATATTTTGGCAATGTTCCTTTTCTGCCACCACATTTCATGGATACGTTGTTTGAACTTAAAATTTTAGATTGAAAAGTAATTTTTCCTCAAACCATTGAAGATATTGCGCTATGGTCTGGTAACATTTTGCTGATGAGAAATTTGAGGCTGATGTGATTTTTGTTCTTTTAAGCTAAGTCGTTTTTCCTCCCTGTTAAATTTTATGATTGTGTCTTTATGGTTGGTGTACTGAAATGTCACAATAATGCATTCGATATTGAAGGTTGCTTCTCCAGTATCTGTTCTGAGCTTCCTGTTGAGTGACAGCATGTGCCTGTCCTTTTTCCCATAATGACCGTTTAGGGATGGTATTAATCCAGGTGAAAGCCAGTCACAACATGGCATTCTCCTGACTATGGTGATTGGATCAGGGATGGTTTTGTTAACCTATGTGTACCAAATAGAATGAAGCCTAGGATGAGAGATGGTTGGCAAAAGATAAACACTTTCTCTAGTACAGAAGGATGTGTGGATGTAAGACCTAGAACTGCTATGGCTTTTTGTTTTTGGATGGAAGAAAACCTGATATCAAATCTGACACAAAACATAGCAGAGCCCATATGATTGCAATTTGAGGAAGGCTCTGTGACATCCTCTTCCTTTATTTGATAATTTGCTCTCCTGATTCTCTCTATTCTCCTTTTCTGTTACTCTCATTGATCAGATGTTAGACATCCTAGATTGAATCTTCATGTCTCTTGTCTTTTTTCACATTATTTTCTACCCTTGTGTCATTTTGTTGTACATTATGTGAGATTTCCTTTTTAAATGCCCTACTTTCTTAGCAATCATATTTTCAGTATTCAGTAACTTTGTTTATTGATTGTTTCTTTTTTATAACAGCTTATTTCTCCTTCAATAGATATAACATCAAATTAGTTTTTTTAAACATCATCTTTTGTTTCCTAAAATATTAATGTTTTCTTTAGGGTCTTTTTTCTTTTATTTTTTTCTCTTTCATGTTGTAGTCTTTTCTCAGCTGTTTTGGTTGTGTATTCATATCTAAGAATAAGGCAAGAGCAAAGCTGACTATGAACATTTTTGATTTTAGAGTTTTCAGCCCCACATCTCACACTTGTTGTACCTGGAGTTCAGGATAATGTAGCCTAGTTTGTTTTCTTCCTTGGCTTTCTTCTCTTCAATACAAATAGTAGGTTACAGCTTCTTATGCTGATTTATCAGTCATTGTTCCTTCTTGATCTGTTGATTCAAGAAATTTATTGAAATCTTTTTGCCATTGATGTCTGCCCCTGCCTGCCCCATATTCTCTTTGTTTTCTAGAGGTTTTACCTTTGTTTTTATTTTAATAAACTCTCTTCATCCAGAAATCTGTGTTAATTTCATTCTAATGGAATTCATTTCATATTCTTCCCGAAGTTGAATATTCAGTTTCAGTCTTCCTCTTCTAATCCTTGCTACTTTTCTTCTCTCATATTCTTTTTCTCATTAGGCATTTTATCTTGGTGTTGATGATCTTAAATTCCTTAATTAACACTTATATTATAATTTGAATATGATAATGAGTAATTGTCTTTGTTTTTTAAACAGAATGTTTACTTTTTATAGAAAAGTTTATAAATAACTGATTTTTTAAAAACTAGATTTTCTCTTCGTGCGGCGTGCGTGTCCTGAGCGCCAGTCTGCGTTTTGTCTCCTGCTTTTAGAGGTTAATAACAAAAGGAGACGCACCTGGACTTTCCCCGGAGCCCTCTGCGTTTTTAAGCGTCGGGTGGAGTTAGTGGTCTTTTGGCTGTAAACCGCGCTTGTTTGATGAAAATAGAAATCAGTCCTGCTCCCCTCAGCGATAAACCTTAATCATTCGTGGCACTTGGAGGCGCACCCTGTTTATCCTGATTGGATCTACCTGAATCCGAACTAAATCCCGTCTAACCAGTAGAGTGAAGGACAGTTCGTTACCTACCAGGAGTGTCTCCGACTGTGGGCTTCTCCCCCCCGGGTTGTTCTTTAAGCCACAAAAAGCTGCACCCAAGCTTGTTTGACGTCTGTCCTCTCAAGTGTCCATGATGCTGGGCCCCGAGGGAGGTGAAGGCTTTGTGGTCAAGCTCCGTGGCCTGCCCTGGTCCTGCTCTGTTGAGGATGTGCAGAATTTCCTTTCTGACTGCACAATTCATGATGGGGCTGCAGGCGTTCATTTCATCTACACTAGAGAAGGCAGGCAGAGTGGTGAGGCTTTTGTTGAACTTGAATCAGAAGATGATGTAAAAATGGCCCTTAAAAAAGACAGGGAAAGCATGGGACACCGGTACATTGAGGTGTTCAAATCCCACAGAACCGAGATGGATTGGGTGTTGAAGCACAGCGGTCCAAACAGTGCCGACACCGCCAATGATGGCTTCGTGCGGCTTCGAGGACTCCCATTTGGATGCACCAAGGAAGAAATTGTTCAGTTCTTCTCAGGGTTGGAAATTGTGCCAAACGGGATCACATTGCCTGTGGACCCCGAGGGCAAGATTACAGGGGAAGCCTTTGTGCAGTTTGCCTCCCAGGAGTTAGCCGAGAAGGCCCTAGGGAAGCACAAGGAGAGAATAGGGCACAGGTATATTGAAGTGTTCAAGAGCAGTCAGGAAGAAGTTAGGTCATACTCAGATCCCCCTCTGAAATTCATGTCTGTACAGCGGCCGGGGCCCTATGACCGCCCCGGCACAGCCAGGAGGTATATTGGCATTGTCAAGCAAGCGGGCCTGGAGAGGATGAGGTCTGGTGCATATAGTGCAGGCTATGGGGGCTATGAGGAGTACAGCGGCCTCAGCGATGGCTACGGCTTCACCACTGATCTGTTCGGGAGAGACCTCAGTTACTGTCTCTCGGGCATGTACGACCATAGATACGGAGACGGCGAGTTCACTGTCCAGAGTACCACTGGACACTGCGTCCACATGAGAGGGCTGCCATACAAAGCCACAGAGAACGACATTTACAACTTCTTCTCTCCACTCAACCCTGTGAGAGTCCATATTGAGATTGGCCCTGATGGAAGAGTGACGGGCGAAGCCGATGTCGAGTTTGCCACTCACGAAGAAGCTGTGGCAGCTATGTCCAAAGACCGGGCCAACATGCAACACAGATACATAGAACTTTTCCTGAATTCCACAACTGGGGCCAGCAATGGGGCATATAGCAGCCAGATGATGCAAGGCATGGGGGTGTCAGCCCAGTCCACTTACAGTGGCCTTGAGAGCCAGTCTGTGAGCGGCTGTTATGGGGCTGGCTATGGAGGCCAGAACAGCATGGGTGGATATGACTAGTTTTGTAGGAGCATTTGAGTTACTGCAATCATTTTCACAGGCAGCCAACAAGCAGTGAAAAGCAATTATTACTCTAGAGGAAGCTGTGGGACCCATTTTGCACCATGAGTTTGTGAAATCTGGATTAAAAAATTACCTCTTCAGTGTTTTCTCATGCAAACTTTCTTCTAGCATGTGATATTGAGTAAACTAAAACTATTTTCAGCTTTTCTCAATTAACATTTTGGTAGTGTACTTCAGAGTGATGTTATCTGAGTTAAAGTAGTTTTAAGTACATTAAATGGATCTTTTACACCACATCACCGTGAACACATTGGGGAGACGTGCTTTTTTGGAAAACTCAAGGTGCTAGATCCCTGATTCAAAGAGGAACATTTCTCATGTTTGTTCATTCTAGTTTATTTTCATTTAAAATCTTTTAGGTTAAGTTTAAGCTTTTAAAAATAAGTTAGTTTTGAAAATTGAGACACATTACTAATACTGTAGGAATTGGTGAGGCCTTGACTTAAAACTTTCTTTGTACTGTGATTTCCTTTTGGGTGTATTTTGCTAAGTGAAACTTGTTAAATTTTTTTGTTAACTAAATTTTTTTCTTAAAATAAAGATTTTTTCACAATGAAAAAAAAATAAAATAAAATAAAAACTAGATTTTAACTTAATATTTTTAGAAAACATCAATTGCCACTTTACTGTTTGTATTGGTTAGATTTATGTTGATTACAAGAGTTTCCTTCTTGGTTTGTCTCTTTTGCTTTATTCATTTGTTTTGTTTCTTAAATTCCAGATGTGAGTGAAATCATTGGTATTTGTCTTTCTCTGACTGATTTATTTTACTTAGCATTATATTCTCTAGATCCATCCATGTTATTGCAAATGGCAAGATTTCATTCTTTTTTATGGCTGAATAATATTCCATTGAATATATATATGCCACGTCTTCTTTATCCATTCATCTATCAATGAACACCTGAGCTGCTTCCATAATTTCACTATTGTAAATAATGCTACAGTAAACATAGGAGTGCGTATATCTTTTCAAATTAGTGTTTTGTATTCTTTGGGTAAATATCCAGTAGTGGAATTATTGGATCATATGTTAGTTCTATTTATAACTTTTTGAGGAACCTCCATACTGTTTTCCACAGTGGTTGCACCAGTTTGCATTACCACCAATAGTGCACAAGAGTTCCTTTAAGAAAAGGAGACTTTATTGACAATAACCTAAAGATAAGTTTGGCTTCAAGTAAACTAGATACAGGAAACAAATAATATAATCAGAATCTTTTTTTCCCCGTTTCCATCTCTTTCTTTTATTTTCTGTTGATTCCATTCTCTAACTAGACCCTTATAGTCAGAAGATGGTTCCTGGTTACATTCTTCCTGGTTCAAATCTAGTAGAAAAAGCTCCAGTCTTTTAAAATAACTCAAAGGAAAACCCAATTATATTTTATTGTCGCTTAGTGGCCTGACTTGTATCATCCATGAGCCAGTTGTTGGGAGAAGATGATTTCGTTTGACTGGTAGGCTTAGTTCATATGCCATTCCTGGAGCAAGAGATGGAGTCATGATTACTGGAACTATAGTTTACTATGGTTCTTCTTTTTTTTTCCACTTTAAATTTTTTATTGTTATGTTAATCACCATATATTACATCATTAGTTTTTGATGTACTGTTCCATGATTCATTGTTTGTGCATAACACCCAGTGCTCCACACAGAACGTGCCCTCTATAATACCCATCACCAAGCTAACACATCCCCCCACCCCCTCCCCTCTAGAAACCCGTTTGTTTCTCAGACTCCATCATCTCTCATGGTTCGTCTCTCCCTGCGATTTCCCCCCCTTCATTATTCCCCTCCTACTATCTTCTTCTTTTCTTTTTGCTTAACATATATTGCATTATTTGTTTCAGATGTACAGATCTGTGATTCAACAGTCTTGCACAATTCACAGTGCTCACCATAGCACATACCCTACCCAATGTCTATCACCCAGCCACCCCCTCCCTCCCACCCCCCACCACTCCAGCAACCCTCAGTTTGTTTCCTGAGATGAAGAATTCTTCATATCAGTGAGGTCATATGATACATGTCTTTCTCTGATTGACTTATTTCACTCAGCATAACACCCTCCAGTTCCATCCACGTTGTTGCAAATGGCAAGATCTCATTCCTTTTGATGGCTGCATAATATTCCATTGTGTATATATACCACTGCTTCTTTATCCATTCATCTGTCGATGGACATCTTGGCTCTTCCCACAGTTTGGCTATTGTGGACATTGCTGCTATAAACATTGGGGTGCACGTACCCCTTCGGATCCCTACATTTGTATCTTTGTGGTAAATACCCAGTAGTGCAATTGCTAGATCGTATGGTAGCTCTATTTTCAACTGTTTGAGGAACCTCCATACTGTTTTCCAGAGGCGTTGCACCAGCTTGCATTCCCACCAACAGTGTAGGAGGGTTCCCCTTTCTCCACATCGCCACCAACATCTGTCGTTTCGTGACTTGTTAATTTTACCCATTCTGACGGGTGTGAGGTGGTGTCTCATTGAGGTTTTGATTTGGATTTTCCTGATGCCGAGCGATATTGAGCACTTTTTCATGTATCTGTTGGCCATTTGGATGTCTTCTTTGGAAAAATGTCTGTTCATGTCTTCTGCCCATTTCTTCATTGGATCATTTGTTCTTTGGGTGTTGAGTTTGATAAGTTCTTTATAGATTTTGGATATTAGCCCTTTACCTGATATGTCATTTGCAAATACTTTCTCCCATTCTGTCGGTTGTCTTTTGGTTTTGTGGACTGTTTCTTTTGCTGTGTAAAAGCTTTTTTACTTGATGAAATCCCAATAGTTCATTTTTGTCCTTGATTCCCTTGCCTTTGGCGATGTTTTGAGAAATAAGTTGCTGCGACTGAGGTAAAAGAGGTTGCCGCCTGTGTTCTCCTTTAGGATTTTGATGGACTCCTGTCTTACGTTTAGGTCTTTCAACCACTTGGAGTCTATTTTTGTGTGTGGTGTAAGGAAATGGTCCAGTTTCATTCTTCTGCATGTGGCTGTCCAATTTTCCCAACACCATTTGTTGAAGAGACTGTCTTTCTTCCATTGGACATTCTTTCCTGCTTTGTCAAAGATTAGTTGACCATAGAGTTGAGGGTTCATTTCTGGGCTCTCGATTCTGTTCCATTGATCTATGTGTCTGTTTTTGTGCCAGTACCATACTGTCTTGATGATGACAACTTTGTAATAGAGCCAGAAGTCCGGAATTGTCATGCTGCCAGCTTTGCTTTTCTTTTTCAACGGCCCTCTGGCTATTCGGAGTGTTTTCTGGTTCCATACAAATTTTAGGATTATTTGTTCCATTTCTTTGAAAACAGTGGATGGTATTTTGATGGGGATTGCATTGAATGTGTAGATTGCTCTAGGTAGCATTGACATCTTCACAATGTTTGTTCTTCCAATCCATGAGCACGGAAGGTTTTTCCATTTCTTTGTGTCTTCCTCAATTTCTTTCGTGAGTATTCTATAGTTTTCTGAGTACAGATCTGTTGCCTCTTTGGTTAGATTTATTCCTAGGTATCTTATGGTTTTGGGTGCAACTGTAAATGGGATTGACTCCTTAATTTCTCTTTCTTCTGTCTTGTTGTTGGTGTATAGGAATGCCACTGATTTCTGTGCATTGATTTTATATCCTGCCACTTTACTGAATTCCTGTATGAGTTCTAGCAGTTTTGGGGTGGAGTCTTTTGGGTTTTCCACATAAAGTATCGTATCATCTGCAAAGACTGCGAGTTTGATTTCCTCCTTGCCGATTTGGATGCCTTTGATTTCTTTTTGTTGTCTGATTGCTGTGGCTAGGACTTCTAATACTATGTTGAATAGCAGTGGTGATAGTGGACATCCCTGCCACGTTCCTGACCTTAGGGGGAGAGCTCTCAGTTTTTCCCCATTGAGAATGATATTCGCTGTAGGTTTTTCATAGATGGCTTTTATGGTATTAAGGTATGTACCCTCTATCCCTATACTCTGAAGAGTTCTGATCAAGAAAGGATGCTGTACTTTGTCAAATGCTTTTTCTGCATCTGTTGGGAGGATCATATGATTCTCGTTCTTTCTTTTGTTAATATATTGTATCACATTGATTGATTTGCAGATATTAAACCAACCTTGCAGCCCAGGGATAAATCCCACTTGGTCGTGGTGAATAATCTTTTTAATGTACTGTTGGATCCTATTGGCTAGTATTTTGGTGAGAATTTTTGCATCCATGTTCATCAAAGATATTGGTCTGTAATTCTCCTTTTTGATGGGGTCTTTGGTTTGGGATCAAGGTAATGGTGGCCTCATAAAATGAGTTTGGAAGTTTTCCTTCCATTTCTATTTTTTGGAACAGTTTCAGGAGAATAGGTATTAATTTGTCTTTAAATGTTTGGTAGAATTCCCCTGGGAAGTCGTCTGGCCCTGGGCTTTTGTTTGTTGGGAGATTTTTGATGACTGTTTCAATTTCCTTAGTGGTTAAAGGTCTGTTCAGGTTTTCTGTTTCTTCCTGATTCAGTTTTGGTAGTGGATACATGTCTAGGAAAGCATCCATTTCTTCCAGCTTATCTAATTTACTGGCATAGAGTTGCTCATAATATGTTCTTATAATTGTTTGTATTTCTTTGGTATTGGTTGTGATCTCTCCTCTTTCATTCATGATTTTGTTGATTTGGGTCATTTTTTTTTTTGATGTCTGGCCAGGGGTTTATCAAACTTGTTAATTCTTTCAAAGAACCAGCTCCTAATTTTGTTGATTTGTTCTACTGTTCTTTTGGTTTCTATTTCATTGATTTCTGCTCTGATGTTTATTATTTCTCTTCTCCTGCTGGGTTTAGACTTTATTTGCTGTTTTGTCTCTAGCTCCTTTAGGTGTAGGGTTAGGTTGTATATTTGAGACCTTTCTTGTTTCTTGAGAAAGGCTTGTATTGCTCTATACTTTCCTCTCAGGACTACCTTTGCTGCATCCCAAAGATTTTGAACAGTTGTGTTTTTATTTTCATTGGTTTCCATGAATTTTTAAAATTCTTGTTTAATTTCCTGGTTGACCCATTCATTCTTTAGTAGGATGCTCTTTAGCCTCCACGTATTTGAGTTCTTTCCGACTTTCCTCTTGTGATTGAGTTCTAGTTTCAAAGCATTGTGGTCTGAAAATATGCAGGGAATGATCCCAATCTTTTGGTTCTGGTTGAGACCTGATTTGTGACCTAGGATGGGATCTATTCTGGAGAATGTTCCATGTTCACTAGAGAAGAATGTGTATTCCATTGCTTTGGGTAGAATGTTCCGAATATGTCTGTGAAGTCCATTTGGTCCAGTGTGTCATTTAAAGTCTTTATTTCCTTGTTCATCTTTTGCTTAGATGATCTGTCCATTTCAGTCGGGGGGGGTGTTAAAGTCCCCCACTATTAATGTATTGTTGTCAGCGTGTTTCTTTGCTTTTGTTATCAATTTCCTATATAATTGGTTGCTCCCATGTTAGGGGCATAGATATTTACAATTGTTAGATCTTCTTCTTGGAGAGACCCTTTAAGTAGGATATAGTGTCCTTCCTCATCTCTTAGTACAGTCTTTGTTT